GAAGGAAACTGAAAAGCATAGCATGAGGCCAAGGAGAATTTCTGGCAAACACGCAATTCACCGGAAGAGTCTGTGAGTTTTCAGAGAGCACAAACGGGTACTTGCATGGCTGTATAGAATACGTATGCAGTAGAAAAGTGTCAGGATGAAGAAGAATGTGTTCACTCTAAGGATGAGTGTGGCAGTGTGAGAAGGGAATTCAGCTCACCTGGACCTGGACCCGGCCACCTCGTGTTTGGACCTAGTTCCTCTTCCTCTGGCCAGGTGTCTCTGAGAAGGGTAGGAGCTCGAGAAGGCAAAGCTGGGGAAGGAAAAGAAAACAGGAGATGCCAAATTTACTTTGCAAATACCAGATTCCTCAGACTGGAAAGAACTGCACCTTTATCTCCTCCAGTGGCAGAGGTCAAGTGAGACCAGGAGAAAGAGTCTTCCCTCCCAGGATGGAAGGGCCCTGGGCATTGCTCCCTGAGGCAAGAGTTGTACTGTGGACTGTAATCAGTCTCTTCCCTGTGGGGTTATGCCAATGGCTGTGCAAGTCATTCTCTGAACTTCTTAGAATGTCTTCTAACAAGCAAAGCAAAACAGTAAAGACACAGGGCTTTGGATTTAGAAATCAAGAACCCACCTTCCCACTTATTAACTATGTGATGCTGGCAGTTCCTCTAAAAGCAAAGGACACGTGTAGGCAAAACTCAGGAAAACAATAGTTGAAGTGGTACTATTATTTATTTACATATTTATGTATTTTACACACCCCATACAATACTTAACAACTTGCTTTTGTCTCTGTTACTCCTCACCACAACACTGTAATCTTCTAAGTATCACTTTATAGAAAAGCAGATGCTCAGAGAACTCAATCTCAGAGCTCATGGCAGACTGGTGCAGATGAACCTAATGTCACTCTGAAAAACAGAACATCTACTGACATTTTCCGTGGAGACCACATGGACTAGAGATACAGGTACCCCTTAGAAAAGTGAGTTAAAACTCCAGTTTTGCCATCTAATAGCTAGTGATGCAGGGAAAGAAGTTTAACTGCACTGTAAATTTAAGTACTATGAAAAGATTATCTTCTATTAGGACCTTAGTATTATTGCCATTAGGTAGTTACTTCATTCCTTAACCTTACCCACCATTGTAGAGGTTTTCAACATGCTCCAAAATGGGGGGCTTACGAGATGCTTTGGTGGAGCTAGGACTAGAAGTGCCCCAGCTGGAGTCTGGGATACACGTAGGCAAACATGGTGAGAGCTACTTTAGTGCTGGAATCGCGGTAGTCCTCCAGAGGACGCAGCAGCAGTGCCACAAGTGACTCTGCGCATGTGCACCCCCCCCCCCCCGCCACCAGCAGGGAGCCCCACCCAAGAACCAGGGCGGCCCCCCCCACAAACCACGCCCGGACATGCCTAGAGTACCTCCCCTGGATTGTCTCCCGTGCCACGCCCCTCTCCTGTCTGCAGCCCTGAATTGTCCAGTTCCAGGCTCTTAGACATTTTTCTTTGCGTAAACTCCATACTGACCTCAGAGCCTCCACACCCCATAACTTATGTCCACAGCATGCGTCCTCTTCCCACAGCACGGGTCCGTCTTCTGGAGACCTCACCTTCCCCAAATCTATTAAAATGCCGACATCTGAACCCCAGTCACTCAAACGGACCCTCAGGGCTGCACAGATGAACCCTGTCCCCACATTCCTGAGACTTGGCTTTGGTGTCCTCCGAGGAAGTATCTCGCCTGCCACCCTGTTGAGTGGCCACTGCGGCAAATGCTCTGGGCTGGCCAAACTGGAGCCTACACAGCAAACCTGACTCCTGTTCTTAGCCATGCAAAGGTGGATAGGGCTCCCCAGGACCCCTCAGTCACTCAGGACACGGCAGTCCCATCCTCAAACCACCGCCTACAACTCCACGGTCCTTCTTGATGGCGCTTTAGCAACCGCCTACTGGCCAACATGGCACAAGGATGGGCAGGTGTTTGCAGCCCGGTGAATCTGGACCCGACAGCCCCTCCTTACACCCGTCCCCTGCAGCTCGGCCATCACTCAGATTGCGCCTGCGCAGCAAGCCCCAGCTGCCCACTCTGGGCCCGCCCCCTGCAGCCACGCCATCATTCAAGATGGCGCCTGCGCAGTAAGCTTCGGCAGCCCCCTCTGGGCCCACCCTCTGCTGCTCCGCTGTCATTCAAGATGGCGCCTGTGCAGTAAGCCTCGGCAGCCACCTACTGGACAACAAACATACTGCTGGGATGGGCAGGGGTCTCCAGGGTCTATTTATCGTTCAGGACAAGACAGCCCCTCTCTCAGGCCCACCCCCTGCAGTTCTGCCATCATTCAAGATGGCGCCTGTGCAATAAGCCTCGAGGGGCCACGCCAACACAACCCAGGCCTACCCAGCCAATGGGTAGGGGTCTGCAGTCTCCTGTTATTCAAAACATGAAAGCCTCTCTCAAGCCTGCTCCCAGCAATACCACCATCACTGACAGTGATACTTGCACAATAAGCTTTAGCTGTCACCTACAGGTCTTAATATCAATCGAGTGGGTGGGGCTCTGCAGCCCCTCCCTCACCCCGCCCCCTGCAGGACCTCTGTCACTCAAACGGTGGCTGCGCAGTAAGTCTTGGCTGCCACCTGTCGACACAGTAGGCGGAACTCCGCAGCCCCTCCCCTTGGGCTCAGCCCCTGCAGCCAAACCCACGTGCACTCAAGATGGCGCCTGCGCAGTAAGCCTCAGCTGCCACCTGTCGGCCAACAGCTTCAGAATGGGCCCAACTCTGCAGCCCCGCCCCTTCGTCCCACCCCCTACAGCTAGCCCCACTGTCACTCAAGATAGCGCCTGCGCAGTAAGTCGCGGGGAGCTCTGCAGCTCCTCCCCCCTTGGATCCGCCCCCTGCAGCTCGGCTGTCCTTCAACATGGCGCCTGCGCATAAGTCTCGGCTGCCACCTGTCGGCCAACAAACAGTACTACAGTGGGCCGAGCTCTGCAGCGCCTCCTCTCCCCTTGGACCCGCCCCTGCAGCTCCGCTGTCCTTCAAGATGGCGCCTGCGCAGAGAGTCTCGGCAGCCACCTGTCGGCCAACATGAATAGTGCCAGCGTGGGCGGGGCCCGCAGCAGGGTCAGTGCCCCAAACTGCCCGTGGTCCCACCCCCAGCCCCGCTGACAGGGTCTGCGCAACACAACTAGGCTGCTCCCGTCCCCAGCATTTCCCCTAGCCAAAAGATGGGGCCAGACACACCGCAGGGGGACAACCACAAGGGAAGGCCTCTGCCGCGCCCAGATATCACCAAGGAGTAACAGCCGGTGCGTCCACAGCCTGTAGCTCTGTACCTCAGTACTAACAGTTTCATGGCGACCGCGGCAGCCGCGGCAAACTTAGCACAACGCTTGGCTTCTCCAAACCACATGGACCCAGCCAACAAAACGGTCTTCGGGTCACTAGCCATGGCCCATTCTCAGAAGTCAGAGCTTAGCCCTCAAGTCAGTTGAGGTGGCACCGTCACGGCAAACCTCTGCAGCCAAACCTTCGACTGGCAAAGAAAGTGCTAGGTAGTCAGGACCCTGAAGCCTTCAGAGCATAGAACACGGGGTCACCACGGTCCGCCCCCCCCCCCCCCGCCCTCGGCCCCGCCCCGCTGCGGCCAGCCAGCCACCATCGCACCAGCCTGCTCGGCAGACCTTAGCCACCCCCATCAAAAATGGCGCCAAGGTAGGAGGGATTCAATGATATCGTCACAGCCCAGGCTAGCCGCAGTCTCAACCGCCCTTGGCCCCACCCCAATCCGCGGCCAACCAATCAGGATAGCGCCTTTGCAGCAAACTTCACCGCCCACACCAAATATGGCGCCAGGTGGGCGGGGCTCCCCATCACTCACAGCCCTGAGAACATACCCACGGGCGTGAAGCCCTCGGTCCCGCCCCTCACGACTTGTAGCTCCTCCCGCCGCCACTGCGGCAAAACAAGCCCCGCCCCCAAAGTCTGGCAAGGATGCTGAGACAGCCTGAGGGACCTGGCTGTCAGGGACGCCGTGGGACAGACGTAGTGATCTGTAGCCCCCAGACCCGGCTAGCCCACCACTTCCCCAGCACCCACCCTGGCGGGCTCGCCTGACACAAGTCCGCGGTCATCCCGTCCCCGTCCCCCACCTCCACTAGGCAAGATGGCGCGGCAGCCCCCCGGCTCCGCGGCCACCTCAAAGGGGTAGCCGGTCCCTGAAACCCCGGCCAGACACGCAAGATGGCGTCCGCGGCAAGCGCGGCAACCCGAGCACCGGACCCGTTGAGAACCCCACCAGGCGGTGTCCGCCGGCTGCCTTCCCCCTTCCCCATCTGACCAGGGTCCCAGAGTGCAGCGTGTGACGGCCGTGCTGCCTCACGCGGCATCCGGACACCGTCCTGACACAGACGTGTAGCGCGGGGGTCCGGCCGGACTCACCTCCCCTCACCACACTGCCTCGGGCCCCACGGCTCGGCCCAGGAGCAGCCCGTGTGCACAGTCTAGCACGCCCACAGGGCCCCTGGCGCCCGGCGGCGCCACCAGCCTAGGGTGGACATGTCCGCTCCTCAGCTCCGACCTCGTCCTCCCCGCGGCTCCCAGCGTCTGCACCGAGCCTCTGCGCGCGACTCCTTGTCAGGCTCTCCGCAGAGGCGGGGCTGCAGCGCAGGCCAATGAGAGGCCGAGCTGCCCACCCCGGGCCCCCTCGCCACGCCTCTGAGCGCTGCCAATCAGGCTGCGGTTGCCGTGGCGATGGCTTGGCGCGAAGGCCGGAGGTTGACGTCAACCCAGCCAACACCAGGGGCCCCTGACAGGGGTCTCGATAAGGGGGTGTGGGGGTGTGTGAGACCCCCACACAAAGAAACGGGGGTGACACGCAGAAGGGCTGACCAACAACTCCCAAACACAAAACCAATGAAGAAAAAAAAAAAAAAAACATTTGTCCCAAAAGTGGAAATCCTGCGGGCAAAACCATGTACGTTGAAGTGTGAAGAACGAGAAAGTAGGAGACGACACGTTTGCGTCCAGGACACGCGAGAGACGCGGGGCTAGTCCCTCCGTAAGCCAGGCTGTCTCGGGCCCCGGGCGGTACGGGCCGAACCGCGCCAGAAACCCGGGCAGCGAGGGAGGAGGCTGGCACCTCAGGGGAGCGCACTGGCGCTGGCGGACCCGCTGTGGAGAGTCACGCGCGGACTGCACGCCGGGCCAGGCGGACCCCGCCGCAGCCCGCACGGATCCCGACACGGATCCCCACACAGACCCCGCCGCGGCCCGCACGGAACCCGCACAGATCCCAACGCGGATCCCCGCAGCATCCCACACAGATCCCACAGCCACCCCGTCAGTACCCGCACAGATCCCCGCAGCCACCCTGTTAGCACCCGCACAGATCTCGACACGGATCCCCACAGCCGCCCCACACAGATAAATCCCCGCGGCGTTCCGCACAGACCCCGCAAGCGGTCCGGTAGCACCCCGCACAGACCCTGCGGCGCCCTCATACAGATCCCACCAGCGCCCGCACGCAGCCCCCCACCACGCCCGGGGCACGGACCCCGCGGTGCCCCGAAGACTTCCGCGAGCCGCCCCACACGTGGCCCTGCACAGACCCCTCGCAGTGCCGCGCACGTGGCCCGGCTCGGACCCCGCGGACCCCCCACAGTGCCGGTGGGCACACGGCGGACCACAGAGGACACCGGGGAACCGTAGCCCGGGACAGCAGCGAGGGGCGGCTGTCCGGGACTAGGGACAAATTGCTCACGTTTGTAGGAATGAGCTGGTAAGTGTTTTCATTTGTTTGTTAAGGATGCACACATTTGCAGGTAAAACTTGCGCAAAAGAATACAGGAAATCGCAAGCTGGTTACCTTGAAGGAAAAGGAATTGCGGGTGAGGGGAGGAGGATGAAGGGAGGAATTTTTCCCCTGCTCCAACCCATGCTGTTTGTTATAAATACGAATTTCTTTTCTAGCAGTAAAAGCAATGAATTATACAAAGTTCATTAACATACCATTGATCCAACTGTTCCATGAAGGCAGAGATAAGCAGCGAATGAAAGATTATATGCAAGCATGTTCATGGAGCATCATTTTTTATTAGAAAAGTGTACCCTGCAGAAGAATTAAGCTGTATTCTGGTCAATCCGTACACTGAAACTTTACCGTGGCCAATAAAAAATGTAGGATTTTAATTTTCAAGGAACAAATTCATTAGATGGTTAATTACAATAAGCAGGTTACTTACTAGCGCACAGAATGTGGTGCCGAAAATTAAGTGTTCTGTTCATACATAATAAGTATAAATAGAAATCAGTGGTTGCTTGCTACCTTAAGAAGCTACTGGCTTGTGGTGGGGGGTGTTTTAAGCTCCCCAAGTCTTCCACGGTCTCCTCTCAGCCAGCAGCGCCACAGTGAACTTAAAATCTGAATGAAAACACTGTGCATGCTGTGCACCTCCGAAACCTATTCCCCAGCAGCCTCTCGGGAAATTCGAGAGGCATGACTGCAAGTGAGCGCTACTACCCTCAGGTCAGAGGTTTTCACATCTGGCTACACCTCAGGATCAGCCGGGGAGCTGTTCAACCCTGGAGCTGCCCAGGGCCCCGCAGACGCGGTGGTTTTGGAGCTCCCCAGGTGATGCTAATGTCTGCACATGGTGCAGGAGGTGATGACTTTAACACATTCTACGACCCCGCTCTCTCTCCTCAAAGGCCTCTGCCTGCAGTACAAGTGTCTCTCTGGATCCTGGATCACTCCTTCCCTTCAGATACCACATGCCCTCGGGACTCCCGCAGTGACTACCCCTTTCCTCAGTGCTCCCTCCCCCTCTCCCTCCGAACCGCTCTTGATAGAGTGGTCTGTCCCTAACTCACCGGCCTCACTGCACATCCTCTCCCCCTACCATGCCCCTCGATGAAACTGCTGAGCAATTCCCTATGCAGCTAGGAAACTTGACCTTAATCTCGCTTGATCCTTCAGTAACATTCAACATCCTCATTAAAAGAAACAATAACAAACAAAACCCAGGCTATCTTATTTTTCCGTGACACGACACGACACCACCCTGGTTTTCAATGGCCTCTTCTCCATCCTCTTGGCTGACTTTTGCTCTGTTCAACCTCTAAACGCTCACAACTCGGTCACTAGACTTCTCCGTCAACATGCGCTCCCTAGGCATGGTTTAAATACCACCTAGACGCCAACAGCTCCCAAATTTAAATCCCCTGCCACAGAACTTTCCACAGAAGCTCCTGTATCTGACTGCTCCACCTGCATATTCAACAGGAACTGAAAGCATTTTAAATAAATATTTAATTTCCCTTTGCCTCATTCTATAATTCTATATATTTCTATAAGCAGTACCAGTTGCTATAGCCAAAAATCTCACAATTGCTCGATTCTTCTTTTCCTCACTGTCACCATCTAAATCATCAGCAAGTCCTGCTGACCCTACATCCAAGACATCCCAAATTTGTCCAGTGTTTTCCCTCTTCGTGACAGTCCTAATCACCGTGACTTCCCCTGGTTATTAGCCTACTCACTGGATCACCTGCTTCCACTCCAAACCCTTCCCTCCCAAGATTCTCTACACAGCACCAGGGTGATCTTTGAAGGTGCATAAGATGTCATGGACCAGCTTGAATTACCCCCTGTCCCCTACCCCCGTCGCACTTAAATATAAGTCTAAAACATGTACCATAAACAAGTCAAAAGAAAAGCCATCAATATCCTTTGTTATGGAAGTGTTAAATACTGGTGCTGTAAAATTCAACAGTCTTTTCCTTCATATTTCTGCTTTTTATTCCTTAAGAAATCCCTACCCACACAGAAGTCAGAAAGATACTCTAATAGCCTTGGTTGTTGTTGTTTTTTAATGTTAACTTTTCTGTATGTTTTGTGGTAAGGATCTAATTTCTCTCCTGATGTATGTTTCTGCATATGAGTAGGCCTGTCCCACTAGTCTGTCCCACTGGCCCATTTGTCTATCTCTGTGTGTTAACACATCATAGTAATTATTACAGCTTTTGGTATCTTGATATCTGAAAGGGCATCTGCCCTACTTTGCTTTCAAAAGTGTCTTTGGCTATTCTTAGCCCTCCATCTCCAAATGACTTCTAGAATTAGCTTGTCAAGTTTGATGAAATATGCTATCAAGGGGGAACCTGACTGGCTCAGTCAGTGGAGCATGCGATCCCTCAGATCCCTCAGGGCAGTGAGTTCGCATTGAGTGAAGAGATAACTAAAAAAGAAAAACAACTGAAAAAAATATCCCATTGGGATTTCAACTTGATTTTAGAAAGTCTTTTTTCCTATTACTTATCCAATCTGTTATTTGGGGTTACAACATGTTTTTTTTTTTTTTTTTTTTTTTTTTTTTTTTTTTTAATAACTTCAGGTATACAGGAAATTTGCAAAGATAGGATAAATATTCCTTACCCAGTTTCTCCTGATGTTAACATCTTACACAACCTTGGTACACTGTGAAAATGAAGGAATTACCTTAGTACAGAACTATTAATTAAATTACAGACTGTATTTGAATTTTACCTGTTTCTATAAATCTCTTCCTTCTGTTCTAGGATCCTAGCCAGGATACATTATTATTTCTTCTTAGGCAACTCTGGGCCATGATAGCCTCTCAGTATTTCCTTGTTTTTCATGACTTTAGCAGTTTTGAGGTACTAGTCAGGTTATTTTATAGAATGTCTCTCAATGAGTTGATCTAATATTTTCTCATGATTTGTCTTGGATTGGGAGTTTTTGAGAAGAATTATCTGCTCTTCCTTTTTATATGCTGATTTTGTATCCAGTGAATTTGCTTATCTGTTTTATTAGTTCTAATACTTGTTAGTTTGTCTATAGATTTTCCTGGATTTTTTGTAATGTTAACATCTTTATTAATGATAATTTTTTACTCTAACAGTCAGAACTCCTATCATGAGCATTAATGCATTGACTAGGACCTCTGAGGTGGGGATACTTCTTATCTTTCACCAACAAGTAAAAATGTTCACAAGCTTTTTTGCAGAACCTCTTTATTGGGAGTTAAGGAAATTCCCTTAAGTTCTAGTTTTCTGAAAACTTTAGCATGAATAAGATTAATTTTATACAATGACTTTTCTATGTCTATTGGGAAGATTCAACTTTGTTATTTTATGCAATCTGTTAATATGGAGAATTAAGGCAAATTTTCTGTTGTTGAAACATGTTTGCATTCCTAAACCATACTTGACCATGATTACGAGGGTCTGATTTATATACACATACTGCTGTATACTACTGGTTTATATTCCATGTTTGTTTTTTACATCTAAATTCTTAATTATACTATCCGTGCCTGGTTTTAGCATCAAGGTTATACCGGCCTTATAAAATGACTTGGATTATTTTGCTGTTATATTCTCCACAATTGTTTATAAAAAATAGGGTTCTCTGCTTTTTGAAAGTTTAGTATAACTCACTGTAAAATTCAGATCTGATGTCTTTTTACATGGAATATTTTGGACTTCATTTCCTCATAAGTTTGGGACTTATATCTGTCTTGAGTCATTTTGGTCATTTATATTTTACAAGAAAACTGTCGATTTCACTTAAATTTATTAGCATAGAATTGTTCACAGCATTCTCTTTGATTTTTAATCTCTTCTGCATTTGTAATATGTCACCTTTTCTAGTACCAATATCATTTATTCTTGTGTTCATCAGTTTTATTAAAGATTTGACAATTTTATGTTTTTTAAATGGCTTTTGGCTTTTTGACCATATTCTTCTTTTCCATTTAATTAATTTCTGTTCATTTTATTATTTCCTTCCTCCTACTTATTTGGGTTTCTCTTCCAAGCGTCTTGAGTCGCATATTTACCTAATTTATTTTTAATCTTTTGTGATTTTTAACAGATACACTTAAGGCCATAACTTTCTCTCCGAGTATCACTTGAACCGCTATCCATGTATTTCTGTTGTTCGGTACTGAGTTGTACTGTTTCCATTAGATTTCCTCTTCATGACATTAAAGACTGCATGCATTCAGGTTCCCAAGTTCTTCAAAAGTCTTTTGATTATAGATTTCTAATTTAACTGCATCACAGCCAAATGATATCGTCTACACGTTATTATTTCATAGTTGTTAAAACTTCTTTTGCGATCTTCGGATGTAATCAATTCTTAATTGTTCAATGCGTTAGAAAAGAATGAGTATTCTGTAATTGTTAGCTACCAATTTTATTTGTGTTCATGAGATCTGGCTTATTAACTATGTGTTTACATTTTCAGAATTCTTACTAATTTTCTCTCTGCTTAACGTATCAGATCTAAATAGTTATAATAATATCACCTATTATGCCTTTGGTTTTATCCACTGTTCCTGATATTTCTTTTAGCTTTTGCTTTATGTTTCAAGGCCATATTTTTCGGTAGAAACAAGTCCATGATTTCCTCTTTTAAGGTGAACATCTAAGAAATTAATCTGGCGGTTTACTTTTAACAGAAGAGTTAATCTTTCCCCATTTTAAATTTCTGATGTATTTGCTTGTTGAATGTGCCTTTTCCTTTGCTTATTTTCTCCTTTCTTGCCTTCTACTGAGTAGATCAATTTTTCTTTACTCCTTTTTCCCCTCTGCTAATGTGGAAACTCTCAGTTATATTTCAGTTACTTTATTGTCTATCTTTAAAGTCCTAATTTATACACAAGTGTGTATATATACTTTTTTTTGCAAGTATATATATATTTTTAACAAAGCATAAAATAATAAAGGAAATTCTGGAATAACTTAGCAATTTGT